GCCAAATATATCGTTAAAAAGTGAACAAAATGGTTACGTGCAGAAGCTGCAGGAGCGGCACAGATTTTCAACAGTTTCACATATATAGAGAGAAATATATATATATAATCTTTTGTCATACTGGGAAGTTTCTTCACCAAAAAAAAAAGCCCCCACCTTAATTTCAGTTCAGCAAACTATGGAACTTGAATTCCTAGTTGTGAATTTTTCTTCCTAAAGGTAACTAAGTAAATCTAGAAAATTGCTCTTCATGCATTTTCCTCAGAATCTCATGTTCTGTCAAAATAAGATTGTTTTGTTTCTGTGAACCAGCCTCAACATACCTTTGTTTGCAGACCCAGTACGGGAATCCTCTCATTTATGTGACAGAGAACGGAGTCTCTGAGAAGGTCCAGTGCCCTCAGCTGTGTGACGAATGGCGGATAGAGTATCTGAAAGGATACATTAACGAAATACTGAAAGGTGACTTTACAAATGTCCTTTCAGCGCCTATGCTTTTTGAGCATTTTCATCTTGCTTATTTTGTACTCGTGTAATTTACCTCACAGAGAAAGAAGCATTCAAAGATCAAAGCGGACGGCAAACTAGGCTAAGAAATTTTCACCAAAATGATAACCTGCCATAAAGCCAAATGTGCTGATGCTAATAAATACAATAACCTGGGATTTGATACTGTAAAAGATCATCAGTTGCCACCTTCAGAAAGGAGAAATTGCACCTAATTACCATTCTTACAGAGCCCGAGTAGCCCTAAGCTAAAGCTAACATTTTCAGAGAATCTAGATTATTTTGTACTTTGGCATTTTTCTGTTCTCCCCTTCACCACATCTCTTTCTGTTGTGAAACACCCACAGAACCGTATTTTAAGGACAACCACCACAGGCAACAAGTTTAACAGAATTATTTGTATTCTGATTACAGCTCTAAACGATGGTGTTAACGTCAAAGGTTACACTGCCTGGTCACTGCTGGATAAATTCGAATGGAACAAAGGCTTCTCTGAAAGATTTGGACTTTATCACATTGATTTTAAAAACAAGAACAAACCACGATACCCCAAGGCATCCGTTGACTATTATAAAAAGATTATCAGTGCAAATGGATTCCCAAATCCAAGAGAGGTGACATGAATTCCTAATTTCATTCTTTCGGTTTTCTTTTCTTTTTCTTCGCTATAAGAGCAAATACCACACTGAATTTCATGAAACAACCTGCACGAATGCAGTATATGAAAAGGCACCTCGGTTCTGTAAGTTAGGGATGTGCTAAACACACAGGCCTCCAGAGACAGAGAAAGTGGAAACAGCCTCAGTGACTGTTTCTAAAGTATTTCATGAACTCTGGCTGGACTTTGTGATATCATTCAGCATTTTTTCACCACAAGTTAACATGCTCTGTCAGGTTCCAAGGCAGGAAATTACACCTATGTCCTTCCTTATTGGAAGAAAATATGGATTATATGTGCTTTTTAAAGTTCTGTTAAACAATTAACTATTAGAAATATATTGTGATAAAAATCACAAGGATATAAAGGAACTTTAAAAAAAATAATTGTGCACTGACAGAATAAAAGTTTCAAGTTAGTGGAGAAATGTTCAGGGACAGAGCAGAAGCTGATGCAAATGAGATAAAATATTACAGTCTAATAGAGCTGCTACATGTCAACCTTCTCAGGTGGAAAACTGGCATCAGAAGGCCATGGACACTTGCTCTACCACACGCCAACTTCTTGCTACAGGTAATTATGTGTCTTCTGCTTTGTTTTATAAAAGCACATTATGCAACATCTGTATTCAGATTTGAAGTTTCGCTGTGAATACCACTATTAGTGCATCCTGAAAGGTACTTTCTCCCTGAAATCACCACAGCTGTCAAATGCAAGCGTCTCATGAAAAATGTCTTTATTTACTCTCCCCAACTAAATTCACTGTAACTAAACAGATCACATGGGGATGGTAAGGGAATACGCAAACTGAAACAGTATTTAAAATTAAAGCTAGGGATGACAGTATTCCCCTTAAAATAATAAAAGCGCCAAACGCTCTTTCAGGTGTAAACCAAGCCCAGACAAGGCAAGACAACCAGAGACAGAAAAATCTCTAAATGTACTACAAAGCCCAAGGGGCTAAGCTCTAGCTCGAGGTCGCATCAGGCCACAGGTGCTGCTGTCACACCCTGGTGACAAAGCTCACAGCAGCTGCTCAAGAGCAGGGGAATACAGGAGGCATTGCCTGCAATTTCCACGGTGCTGGGCTAATCCACCTCACTTAAGACCTTCCCAAAGTAATTCAGGACCTTTCATAATTCCTGAACTAGGAGAAGAGTGGATTTCTGAAACGTTTAAGAAAAATTAAATAACAAAGTCTCCCAAGAAGGATGCGATCAATTTGCAGAAAATGGCAAAGCAGTCATCCTACGTTTAGCCTGCTGAGTCTCAGCTGCTGAGTGCTACGTCCTACGCAAATTAACTTGAGACTTATTTGTGGAGCAGAATTCTACAAAATAAACCCCGTTTAGTTTCCCAAAGACCTGCAAAACAATCACTAAAAGGCTAAAGTGCTTCCCAAGGATTTCTCTTTGACAACTGTCTTTTCTACCCTTCCCCTGAGGAGGGGGGAAAAGACAAGAACAGTAGAATACCACTGATAAAATACACTGAAGATAATTCTCAGTAACCACAATTTTTGCAGCCCTTTGCAAACTGACCTATCTCCAAAAATTTACCATAGAAAGAAAAAAAGGGAAGGAAAACAGTCATGGATTTGCTCCATCTTTCGCAGCGTTTGGAAATTTTGTTTGTTTGCTCTTTATGTCAATGTCAACACTTAACAAAATGATTTTAGGCATAAATGTTCAAAAGTCCTTAATCTATGTTAACTCTAAGTTAACAGCTGGTATACTCCAGAAGATTAAATTTCTTACATATTGCTCATTTCTCAAACTTTTAGATTCCCTGATTACTCACATGGAAATGGTGACAGAGATTGTTCTTCCTACAGTTTTCACACTCTGCATACTCATCAGTATTGTCCTACTAATAATCTACCTTCGAAATCACACTTAAATTTGCATGCTTACACACGTCTTCATTTAGCATAATAAATTAAATGCAACCGCTTTATTACATCCATTAAAATTTACCTCTTTTTGTAACACTGTAAAGATAAAGAAATACTATTTTATCTGCCCGCTTAGTGCTTTTATAGGGTTTTCTATCTGGTTCCCAAAACATAATTTCATATTTTCAGTCAACATGCAAAGTACATTTCCTTTCTGCATTACTTTCTAGTAATTTTAAGTAGCAGATTTTCTGTTCCTTACTATTTTGGGAATGTCTAGACATTCTGTTTACCAGAAAAATAGGTAGCTAAGACTAAAGTGATTCAAATCTTGCCAGTACAAATTTCAAGTGATTCAAAGCCATTTGCAAAGTCTAAAGAGTCTGTTCATCAATAGACTTTTAATTAGCATGTAACTGCTACCTGAAGAGAGCCAGACACATAATTTTAAAATAGAAAAGGATTTAAAAACTACAAGAGATCTGCTTAAACATTAACTTACTATTCATGTCTAAAAGTTAGGATAATATTTGCCTTATTATTTAGGTGTGGAGAATTACTTGAAGTGATTAATCAAAGATGATAACTGCTGAGTCAGATTTAAACCAAGGACGACTCTTCTCCAGTTTTGTTTATAGGGAATGAGGTTTTACCTCATATGACTTAAACATACATTACACACAGAAACGTGCATCGCAGGTAAACCCAAGCACTTCCAGACTGTTATATTTCACCTGAAATTCACTTCTACTGCAGGCAGGAACAAGTTAAGTACATGATTATAAAAAGTTTGTTCCAGAATATCGCCACCTGGCTACATGGTCCTGCTGTTGTGCTTGAAATTATTCCCCGAAAGCAAAGCAGCAGACCACTTTCCTGTTTAGCTTGCACTCCATTGTCAGCACTGCCTGGGTGTATCCTGATCGCAGAGTAGCAGTATGTAAATCCAAAAAAAAGGATCTTGTCCTTAGCTTCTCGTCAAAGGCTAACTATTAAACTGACAGTTATTAAGATGTCATACTAGGAAAGCGATAAGAAATAAGTTTTACTGAGGAGGAACCAGAAATGATAGAAATTTATAGTTTTTAAAAAGCATAAATGTTGGGGTTTTGCTTATTCTTACTTATAATAGTTAATAGCTTCTTTTATGCAAGATGTTGCTGTCTCAAATTACGTAATCAGCAAATACCACACAATGTAATTGTTTAAAATTACACTACCAGAATGTTAGATACGCTACCTAATCAAAGAACATACGCAACTGCCACCTCAACATACTCAAATTATTATGCCCAGCCAATTATACTGAACATTTTTTTCAGAAAATTACACAAAAGTGTACAAGACCACACTGTTAAAATAATTCACTTTGCATTGAGGGGAAAAAAACCAAACCAATCTGAAGAGGAGAGAGAAGTATATCCAAGAATACACCAAAATATAAGTAAGGGGACAAAGAAAACCAAACTGCCAGAAGTTCACAGTGTCCTGGATGAACAGCTTTCCAAACGTGTCTGGATGACGAGATGTCACTTGACACCAGGAAAACACGACAATAGTGCTTGTTTTGTTGGGTTAAGAGAATTCGCATGTTGAACAGCGTCTGATTGCGTTCTTCACGAATAAAAATAAAATTTACAATGCCAAAGTGCAGAACTTTATTGAACCTTTGCAAAAATACGAACAAAAATACCTACTACATATTCAAGATGATTATACTGTACAATCACAATTGCACAACATTTATAGACAAACTAGGTGCGTACAGATGAATTATGGCTGCGTGGGTCACACTTCAAGCATACGAAAGCGAGTAACTCGGCAAGATGTGCTGTTCTTCAAATCACAGAGTGTTTCTAGATGTACAGCTGGGACACCGAGAATATCAAACTTGCCCCCTTACTTTACCTTTCCAGCGCCTGCCTGTAGAGTAACATGCACTTACAGGAAAGGCACCTGACTGCATTTAGTCATTGTAGTAAAATACATTCTTTCTTCACTGCTTCCATTAACTGTGGAATCGGAAAGGAGACCTGCAGAGATGGAAAAAAAATGTGCTCAGACACTCTTAGAAAGAGAAACTGTAGAGATTAGTTCATGCAGCAGCTTTGAGATCTGGTTTCAAAACGTGAGGTTTTCAAAGCAAAAACTGAGAAGGACAGGAATGCTCTACCAAAGCATTACCCTGTATCAAACCTCACCCCAAAAGGCAAATTACTTCTACACCAGTCTGTACACTTAGTTCTTCCTCATTCTCATGCTTTTTCACTTGTTCTACATTTGCTTGCAGCAAGGCATGTCTTCTCTCCTTAGCACCTACTTCTCTGCCTCGAGACCTGCATTCAGTAACAGGTAAATTCTCTTCAAACTCCTTCTCAGATACACTGGCAAACATCTGAGGTGTAAGTTCTAAGAGACTGGAGAATACTTCATCATCTCGCACTCGGAAGTACTCTGTCATTGTAGCTCTAAAAACATTAACTCAGCAAAGGCGAGAAGGCAGAAAAGTCACCACTTCCTGAGGATCTTTTACATTCTAGAAATCCTATCTCACCCTTCTACTAAAAGACAAAACATCATTTCATTTTTGCTAGAGGTAGAAGTAGGAAAAAGTTCAGACCCACTGAACTCAGTATAAAAGCTGAATTGAGGATGTGTATTTTTGTTATTTTGTGCCATCACAAATATTTCTTACCCGTGTTGTTTGATGTCATATGTTCAACTGGAGGATTAGTACTAACTTGCCACGTTGTTTTAACCTCCCTCGGTCCATGCCCGCTACTTATGTCCACCTTCCATATTTCTGGGTGATCACTGACAGAAGAATCAAGAAATGACAAAAATTCAGTTAGGTGTTCAGTCGCAGACGAATTTTAATGCTGCAAACATTGAAGTTTCTCTTACTCTTGGTAGAACTTCTTGACAAGCGCAGGTCTGATGGGCAGTTGAAACACATGCTTCTCATTTAGAGGGTTTTCCTTGTAATACTTCATGCAAATTCTACAAGAAGAATGAACTCATTAGTAACTTGCTTTGGAGAAATGCTGGTGCAGCACTGCATAAACCTTGTGCAAAATTAACTATACTCTCAGATGTTACGATTTCCTTTGGGTCTCGGGTTTAGTCAAAGCAAAATTTACCAGGAGTATCCAAATGCTATTTCCGCAGTCTCGTTATCAACAACATTAAGGAGGACTGTGGGGTTTTTTTTAAGACTTTCTTGAAAACTATTGAAGAGAGTATGTTTGTTACTGTCATTGAAAGAGCAAGAAGTAAAAAGGAAATAATTACTGTGTCAAAGGGAAGAGGTTCTCATGTTTAAACTGAAGTAAGACTGTACAGCTGACCATTATTTCCAGCATGTGGTGAAGTTTTTGAACACGATGAACTTGTTCTTGTAGATCTACCGATGTCGAAATGAAGTAATCCTAGAACAGCAAACAGCTCCTGCTCTTGACTGAACACTTAATTTTGACACACAACATATCCTCAATACACTACAATCATTTTCCTGCTGCTTTTGAGAAGCCAGAATTTTAAGAACGGTCCAGCAATGTCCGAACAAAGTTCTACGCTATCAAAAGTATGAGCAAAGGTTCACTGTCCCGTATCAAATACCTCAGAATTAATTCAAGGATCAGGAAACAGCACGATGACATTTCTGCAGTACATTGCTCCATCCTCAGGACTACAATTCAGTTTCTCAATTTGTAAGAACGATCTGACTTGCATCCCCACCATCAGCTAAGTGTGCTCTACTTTATACGGCTTTCAGAGTTGGAAAAAAAAAAAAATCACCAATAAAAAAAAAAATCTCACCAAGCAGGTTAACGTTGCAAGTTCCTGGCCTGTAAAATGAACACAAAGAAAACACAAAGTCACTAGGACTACGATTGACATGGTTCCTCAGTCAAAACAAGAAAAAGTGACACGGCAGAGGCATTATTTTGTTCAACATCAAGGTCACACAATGAAGAAAACTACTACATACTTCGAGACAACTACCCTCCTTGGGACATAGAGGTTTACAAGTACTGAAAATAAAAAAGCAAATGAAACAATGAAAACAGGATGACAAAGCAAAAAAGAAAGCAAGAAAGGAAGGAATAGGAAGTGGGTAACAATAATTTTAAAACACTCCCACAGCTTCAGAAAAAGAGTATAAAGTTATAATCCTGAAAACAAAGCCGCAATGTTTTCAAGAAAAATTGTACTTTACAAAAATCTCTCCACTCTAGCTTTTGCTTCCAATATAACATATATAATAAGAATTAAAAAGAAAATATTTCTGTATATTACAGACTGTACAGACACAGCTATTACATATAAATATCCTTGCCTGATTTCCTTTGAACCCATCTAGACCATAAAGGAAGAGAAACAGTCTATGGTCATATAAATGTGGTATTTATTTTACTTCAAGTTCAACCTAAAGGTTTTTTCAAACTGAAACAGAAATACACAGTTACATGAACTGTAGTTATTTTGAAAGTAATTACTTTTTTTAAATTTTGAAACTATATACAACTGAAAAGTACAATTACTTCAGCAGATTGAAGCAGAAGCAAGATCAAGGTAACAAAAAGCTTCATTATTTCTTGCATGGAATACTTGAATTTGTGATCATGTTAACAGATACCAGGCTTACCTATGAAAAAACTGACGTAATCCTTCTTCATCTTATCCAAACCAATCTCCAAGAGCATTTGAATCGGAGTGATGCCACTGAGGGAAACAGCATCTATCTTTCCATGATACGACTGTTGAATCAATTTACTTAGCAAACTGCTGCTGCCTTGATGAATCTAAAAACCAGAGAAGTTTCCTTGTGATGGAACCGTGTACAAAACATCATAAACATTGCTTAGAAGTACAACACCACGGAAACAATCCGTGACACGAGAAAGTCATTCAAAAGCAATACAGCACAGAAATGAGGAGCAGTTGAGCAACAAGAACTAGCGTACTTCAAATGACTCAAAATTTTAATGTTGACTGTGAAATACAAATACGTACCCATGGCTGTATCTCACCGTGTTCCAGGGATTTTATGATCAGTCTGAAACACTCTATCAACTCCTGACAGGAGCTGACACCTGCAGAAAAAAAGACACACTACTTTAGTTATCAGTCCAGGCTCTCTCTCCAGGTGTTAAGGCAGTAACAACAGGGCAACGTGTACTCGCCAGGACGAAACCCCTCACTTAAGCAATGATGGCTGAAAGGACACATTGTGTTGCTTTTTGATAAGTGCGTCCTATCAGGACTTTAGAAAAGGGTTACTCTGTGGATACCCTGCCTTTCACAGCTGGCAGTGCCCGCAGCACTCCGTTGCAGAATTAAGACTTTCGTCCTTGAGCTCTTTTCTAAACAAGTACAGAACTCTTGCTTGCTAACTATGAAGAGACCCTGACCAGCCAAGATAGCTCATGTTGGGAGTTTGTCCGTGAGAATGGACAGATAAGAGGCTTCTCGTACACAAGATATGCCTGGGAGTGAATGGGAGAGTATGATCAAAACAGACCTGGGAAAGTCTGTTCTCCCTGTGTGATAAGAGAGTGACTGAAGGAGCACATGAGCCAATAACAATTCTGGCTGTATAGTCTAGTCTCCTGTTTGTAACCCTTAAATACTGCTTCTTGCTAATAAACTTTGTCTTAGCTTCTCTCAAGAGCCGAGTCCGTGCCTTTCAGCCCAACGCATTACTCTAAAGAAAGAGCGATCAAAAGAGGCCGCTGAACCACATGTGACTCTCAGAGAACAGCACATGCCAGCAGCACACGGTCTGGTACATTCTGGCGAAATTCTGTCTGTATAGTCTAGTCTCCTGTTTGTAACCCTTAAATACTGCTTCTTGCTAATAAACTTTGTCTTAGCTTCTCTCAAGAGCCGAGTCCGTGCCTTTCAGCCCAACGCATTACTCTAAAGAAAGAGCGATCAAAAGAGGCCGCTGAACCACGTGTGACTCTCAGAGAACAGCACATGGCAGCAGCACACGGTCTGGTACATTTTGGCGAAATTCTGTCTATATACATTGAAGCATAACACATTTTATAAATTTAACTGAATGGCATCTGTCTGGAATATGAACTACCAGGATCCATTTATCCAACTAATTGTTTCTAAAGCCAGAAACAAGCCTCCGTACGTTGCGATGGCGATTCTGCCCTTAAGCAGGACACGCTGCAGCCACCACAGTACATTTGAGCTACCTAGTTGCGATTCAAACGCAGCAGTGGTCGCACTAATGGCAATGAAAAGGATTTAGAAGTTGCGTAACTCCATCCCTTAAACAGAGATTAGTTGTTGTAATCTCTGGAACGGCTTAACAAAAGTTAATTAATTTGAAAAAACAGGAATAAATAAATACGTATGTTACTGAAGGACTGGGAGTGGTATCACAAGAACGATGAAGTTTATGTGCAGCTTTATCAACTTTAAAATTGTCCTTCAGCTCTAGAAAGACGAAAATTTTATGAAGTTTTCAGTTTTAGAGCAAGGAGTACTGCCAACTGTTTAGTACCTATTACAATCAAATAAAGTGAAACAAACTCTCCTGCTAGATGTCAGTCTCCTCCAACAGGTTGTAAGTAAATCATCTCACATCACCAAAATCATCTCTTCCAGAATTTTCTGAAAAGCTGATCAGTCCTTAAAACTCAGAGATATTCATACTCGTTTCCCTGAGAAAGCAATACAGTAGATACAGAGAGGAATTAAAGGAAAACAGATGGAGAAAAAAAAACCAAAAACCCGCAAAACACTTACTTTTCATTTTGCACCACAACTGTTCAGCAAAATCCAGGTCTCCTCGCTCACTGAGGATTGATTTGATGGAACTGTCCACTGCAGCTGTGCCACACTGGATTTTCTGAAAGAGGTTGTTTGTCTTATGTAAAAAAAGGAAGGCTAAGATTCAAAGACCTTAGGAATTGGAATTTTGGGTGCATCACTAATTTTTCCTCTTTTCCAGGGAAACTACCACACAGAAACTGCCAGAGTATAGTAAATTTGGAAGCCTCCTGTTATTGAGACGTGAGACATTCTTTTCAGAATTATCACGCTGGGTAATTGCTAGCTTTGGACCAGGAAGTGAAGCCTGCTCTCAGAAAGACTTTGGATCATAGCCAAGCAAAGCTCAACCAGACTGTCTAGTGAAAACTAACTTGCTTAGCTCGAGATGCTCCTTTTTGCCTTAAAACAGCACAATGCCTGGAACAATCCAGCGAGCACCAACTCGGGACACGACCTGTGCTACTCTGAACTCACATCTTTTGAGATCTCTTTCAATCCCCAGCATTCTGTGATTCTGTGAAATAAAGATCCAAACTTTTCCTTGTAAACCAAAAGACAAAAAAAACTTAATATAACTGAAGACTTTTTTATCATTTGAATTTGTCCATTGCTTTAGAATATCATAAACCTCTAGATAAATAGGATAGATACCCAACTGATACCATTGAATTGCCCCCAAATCCTTAAACTGGGCAAAAAAAGTAAATTAACAATAGAATTTGACACTGTAAAGGTCAGAGCTCCTGGAAGAAACTCGGACATCACGAGACTGATAGCTCTAGGAGCTGACAGACAAGGGTCAGGACAAGGGAGTGCGACTGCAGTTGATAGAACACAGTTCAATTTGCAGGCTTCTGGTAGTGAAAAAGGAAGGGAAAGAAGCAAATCAAAAGAGCTCCACACCACTAAGCTATACAAAAAAAATACACTGAATGGACACTGGTAGATAATTTAGAATAAAACACCATGAAGCTTTTCTGAAGGTAAGTGAAAAAGGAAGGGAAAGAAGCAAATCAAAAGAGCTCCACACCACTAAGCTATACAAAAAATACACCGAATGGACACTGGTAGATAACTTAGAATAAAACACCATGGAGCTTTTCTGAAGGTAAAAATTATGGCAGAATTTCTGTTAGAAGACAGCTCTGAAATCCTTAATTTTGCCTGTAAGGTTTTCTTCCATTATTTTTACACAGCAGAAAGAGAAAGCAAGACATCTGTCTTTACGTCTATGTATTGACATACATCCATAATATACAAGACATAGTCAAAATATGAAACAACTGCAGTTACAAGGGAAACAAGAGGACGAGGCAATTGGTAGGAAATTGCATATACCTCTGTGTCATTCTCGTTTCCAGCCATACAGCATCCATCCAGCTTCTTCTTTAAATCTAGTAGAGGAGAAAAACAAATTTCACCACTATGAAAAAATCCCATATACAAAAAAACCCCTTCAGACCAATTGTATAAATCCCCAGGCACAGCATAATTAACAGATAAGGTGGCTGGAAATATAATTTCTTCCTATTTTTTATTACAAACTATGCATTTCGCCCATATACTTTGACTACATCCTGTTATCTAAGAATTTACTTGTTCAGTTCCAGGGTGGCAGCACTAAGGGGTAACAGATGGTCTAACAAGCATCTCTGGCTTTCTGCACATGTTATTTGTCAGAGCTTTTGTCCATTTTATCTTTTGCCCAGGTTTTTTCTACATACCACAGAAATTTACAGCTGCATTGGAACATCTCTTGGTTCATTCCTACATCTGATTCTCTTTGTACATTTTTTTCCCTAATACCTTAAACTTCTGAGAAGACACATATCATTCGGAGCAGTTTTCAGAAGGAATCAGTAATTTTGGGCGCTTCATTTTCTCACCAAACTATCATTTTCCAGCACCAAAGGGATGTTTAGCACACGTAGAAGTTGATGTGCACGTCAAGTAACTTGAAAGACACATTCAGAACTCTCTCAATCGCTTTCTAAACTTGATTGTGTCATTTTATAAGGAAACAATTATTACTTTTATACAAGATGTCACGGCAAATTGAAACAGGACAAAGAAAAATCGCAGAGATGTACTGACTAACATATTAAATGACTTTGTGCAGGAGGTTATAGTGTACGAATTACAATCTCTTAATTCTAACACTTCAAAAACCGTATGTGGAATTTTCTTTTATTTCTGTGAAATAAACTTTCTCTCTCTCTGGCCATGTAACAAGCAGCAATTACCGGCCAGAAATTCCCGGACCAGGTCAACAGCTGATTCAGTCTCCAATGGCTCAGGCCACGCAGTCACACCCGACTCCAAACCTTCAGCCAAAGCCTACAAAAGCAGCACAAAAACCAAAACACCACAAGTCGGTTCTTGTTTGAGGTCCTGAATGCATCACACTTCAGAACGTAGTTAACGCCCCCAAGAATCGTGCATCTCTCGCTGGACGAGTCACCAAAAATTGAGAAACTTCTTGAATTTCCCAGCTTTGGTGTTCATAAGTTGTCCTCTTTCTAGTCAAGATTCCCAAAACTGAACTCAAAGTTTACTCCCAAATAGAAGCTTAAAGTTATCTCTGAGACATACGATGAAGTTTTAAATAATGTAAATTAACAAATAAAATCATCATTTTGTGCAAATCTGAAATTGAAATTTCTCACTCGTACTTACAAGCAGAAACTGCAGTTCTCTATACAGCTGATAGACAGGACTTCTGGGGTCCCCAGACGCCAGTGCAATGTTCTGAAAGTTCCAGAAGCTTGCGTCAGCTCCAAACACTAAAAATCAAGTTTCTCAAAAGTTTTATTAGCAAAATGCAGATGAACATAACCTACAGTTTCAATCACAAACACACTGTGTTGCTTATATGAAGAATAATCAACACAAATGTGAGGAGTCAAACTTATTTTTTTACCCTTTACAGGACTCGGGATGTAAGCGCCATGGAAAGAGTTCGCCTTTGTCCGTTTTCTCCTCCTGACCTACCAGCGTGGCAGCTGAAGTTAGCGGGGGTGTCTCCAGAATCTTTTCTACGCTGTTCCACGTGATGTCAACATATATGTTGCTTTCAGATTCTAGAGTTGTGTCCTCCATCGCGGCGGCTCTAATAAGTTCATACCGAGCAAACCCTTTTGTCGTCACCTAGAACGAACAAAGATTTTTTTTTTTTTCTGAAAAAGACCCCCACGGTGTTGTTTTGTAGGCGTGAAATGATTTTTGATGCGTTTCGCCAACACAGTAAAGGGCTAATGTCAGAGAAATGCACTAAGACACAGGGAGCTCAGATTTGATTTCAGAAGAGACACTGATACTACAGAATTGTAGTAAAGTGAGTTTGTAAATAGGATCCCTACAGCTTCCCAAAGCCAGCATCGTAATTCCAAACCCAGAGTTTTAAAACTTAGATTGGAGACATGATCGACCATAAAAACTTACAGCAGAAGAACGATGCTGCGTTTTATGTGCCATTTTGAGGTCTTCCAGGTTTGCAAAATGCGTTTTGTCAGCTCTAGGACCTAGGAAAGGAAAACTGCACTCATCAGACCAACGTTTGACACAATCCAACTCCAAAATTAACTCTCAAATACTCCATTCTGTCAGGCACAACTCGTGTTGTCCTTTAGGAAGCAGGCATTCTTCTCGCATTTGTCGTGTTGATAAGAAGATGTGTGTTAACATCAATGTTTAGTAAGAGTCAGTCTTGTATAGCAAGTTGAAAGGTAGCAATTTAAATTTGCTGTACCCCAGCAAAGCTAGGCCTGCACAGACACTGTTGCATTAAATATAGTAAAGTTATTTCCCAATATGAGATAAAACCATATTTTCTCTCTCTCTCCCCCCCCCTTTTTCTTTTTTTTACCGATGAATACAGAGCAGTACCAAGCCGGCACCACACAAAGGACAAATACAGCATCACTACATCAATATTCCCACGTTTTTAAGCCTTCCTCAATTCTACATGTAACATTATAACCTTACCGTCGCAGGTAACCATATACAAATTGATCCCTGTGATTCTGTTTCCAGCTTTGAGAGGCTCAGCTCCATGCCAGCAAGTATGTTCAGGATCAGAACCGTCACATCTTATCCAAAAGGGAGGAAGCACAACCAGCTCGTCGATCTTCAGGTGGGTCATGTTTGGATTTTGTACCATTGTATATAAGGAAATCAACTGCCTAGAAACAGGAACAGGAAAAAAAGTAAGATGCCAGCAAGTACCGCTAAATCTATTTCTTAAATAAAACTTTATTCCTGCCTACCATGCTTCATTAAGAGACATCAAATCATTTTACAAAAAGAAGGCAGCATTATAAGCCTTTTTACAGGTAGAGTAATTAAGGCACAAAGATATCGTAACTGAGAATATACGCATTTTTTTAAAAATATTTTAAATCAAAATATTTTAATTCAGTCTAAAGATTCTAAAATCATAAGTGAATTTTACATTTTAAGCACGTTAAAAGGATGAGTCACCATGTGTTGGTACTGTGCCTTGGTGTTTTAATAACAGCCAAGGAGCTCAATGACATTTTTTATCTGTTTAAGAGAAGCCTTACAAAAACAAGCTTTCCTGGCTTAGCTACAGCCAGACAGTCCCAGTAAGCCGGGGGACAGCTCCCACGGGCATTTCCAGTACCCTGACCTTTGCTCCTCGGTTAGGAAGGCTTTTAGCCAGGGGAGGCCGTTCTGCAGGATCAGAAAAATGGTCACATCTCCTCACTGAGCTAATGAGTCACTTAGGTTTGGGGGACTGAAAATAATACAGGTTCTGAATATTAGCAAAAGAGACAAAAGCTACAAAAGAAAACAACATCAAAAGGGGAGGCAGAGCTTTGACACTTACTTTGCTCTTCTGACAGGAACAGCCTGTGGTCCAGAACTCTCCTTTGGTAAAAGCTCAGAAGCATGAACGGCATCATCTGCTTTTGACTCTTCCAGTGGGTCACTTTCTTCATTGTGTCTCTTCAAAAGAGATGCAGAGGTAAGTCCAAAAATGCAAGGTATGTGAAAATACCTTAAAATACTACTTTTTTAAAAAATAATACACACTTACGGCTTTCTGCAAAACATATACCATACTGTTTCCATTCAAAAATCTTTCAACGGGACTTTTGCAATTGGCACCAATCAAATGGATCTCTACGTCAGTCTGGGAAAAAAAATACAATTTAAAACCTTTTAATACACTACAATTCAATTTCAGCAATTATTTAGACTACAGAGTGCAAAATTAACTAATTCCACAAACTGCTAAGGCTTCCTCGCGCTGCAGGAGAACACAATTACTGCCTGCCAGAGATGGAATCAAATCAACTTTGAAAATGCAAGAAGTTTCAACTAACCAACACAGAAAATTTAATCTCTAACAGGTCGATTCTATGAGAAACTGGAGTTTGGTTCAATGAACAGCTTTAGGGAATCTGAAAGAAGGGAGCACTGTTCTCAAGGAGAAACAGCAGTCACCAGACACCACTGAGATGGAGAATACCCATTTAAAGTAACTTTAAATATCAATTGATCTCTGGCTCAGGAGAGCTCTAAACACTCTTTGGAGACATTCCATCACCCAAGCCTGTTATGGAGAATGAAGAAATGTTAACATTTCCTTAGGCTTTTCCAAACACACAGAGAAGTGTTGTCCCATACCTCACACCAAGCCTGCTTTCCATATTACTGTATATTCAATAACCACCTGACTTTATTTCCAAACTATTAGCAAACTACATAAACAATAAGATTAGAGGGCCGGTTAGCTCAGTCAGTTGAGCACGGTGCTGACAACACCAGGGTCGAGAGTTTGATTCCCGTTGGGTCCCCCTGTGTTGCCTGATCTAGGTGAGAGGCGTCCCTGCCCATGACAGGGAGGTTGGATTAAATGATCTCTAAGGTCTCTTCCAGCCTAGGCCATTCTGTGCTTCTATGAATACAACTAAACAGCCTTAGAGACTTTCCAGCCATTCTTAGATTCCAAAAGCCGTTAGAACCGATCGCTCTTTTCATACAGACATCTCAGTCCCCATGAAAGCACTCGGATAAAAAGCTGCAAGTTTGAAGCATGAAACCCCCACTGGAGGGCGGCCGCTGCAGCCACCGACAGCACCGTCCAGCTTCTGGATCTTCCCTCCACCCCATAATGCTCGATCCTTGCAACCGTTTTAAACAAGTTAACAGGTGGAAAAAATAAAAATCACGTGGAAGGCCGGGAGTGGAATGAAGGGCAGGTGAGGGTGATCCTGCTGGTACCTGGGTCTCCTCTGTCCTGAGGTAAAGGCAGATCTAAAGAGGTACCGCTGAGGTAGAATCATAGACCAATTCAGGCTGGAAAAGACCCTTGGGAGCATCGAGTCCAACCACTGACCCTACACTACAAGTTCCCCCCTAAACCACATCACCCAACACCACATCTAAGCAACACTTGAACACATCCAGGGATGGCGACTCAACCCCCTCCCCAGGCAGTCTGTTCCAGGGTCTGACCACTCTTTTGTGAAGAATTTCTTCCTAATGTCCAGCCTAAACCTGCCCTGTTGCAACTTGAACCCATTCCCCCTGGTTCTATCCCTAATTCCCTGTGAGAGGACACCCCCCCCAGCCTCTCTACAATGTCCTTTCAAGTAACTGCAGAGCATGATGAGATCCCCCCTCAGCCTCCTCTTGGTCAAACTGCACAGACCCAGCTCCCTCAATCCCTGTTCTCCAGGCCCTTCCCCAGCTTTGTTGCCCTCCTCTGCCCTCGCTCCAACACCCCCACACAAATCCCAGCTGTTGGTTCAAACCCACAGGCTGCGCTTACGCGGCTGTTTTCACACATTTACCTCAAAGGGATACGGATGCTCAGGGATACTTTCCCCTCCTTCTTCATAGATTCTGACAGGAAACATCAAAAAAAAACCGTGAAGTTTGGCGGCCGCTTTATTTTGCTTGGGTGGGGTTTGGGGTTTTTTTTTCTCCTCTCTGCACTCCAACAAACTTCACCTCCTGCCCTAAACCCCATCAGCAGC